GAGCGAGATGAGATCCTGTGAATGTAAATGGGTTGTCCCAGGTCACACAGCCAGTGAGTTTAGTGAAGGGATCATTGCTAGGATGTGGACCAAGTGTAGGGATCCCGTTCATACCCAAGGCGTCCTCTGCCAGGCCCTCAGGCTCTTATAGCTCTTCCAAAGCCTTTGTGTCCTGTCATCGCCTGGCTGGGCTAGAAATGCCATGCAGGATGGCCCTGGTCTTTGGGTCCTAGCCCTTCTACCCCTTGGCCTTTGGAGGCAGAATCCCCACTCCCAGGGTGCTATCTGTGTTCAAGAGGCTTTTTCCGGCTGGGCCCTGTGTCAATCTTGAAGTGGTCAGTGGCTCCCTGGGGGCACCGAGAGTCCCCTCCCTGGATCCTTGAGAGCTGTCTGGCAGCCTGCTTTCTCAGCACCCACCTGTGGGCAGCAGATGCTAGGGGGCCGGAGTGCTGCTGCTCACCTCGGGCTTCTAGCTCTGCCTGCTCCTGCCGCTGGGAGGGTGGCCACGCCACTGGAGGTCGCCCGGGTGAAATGTGCCCGCATAGGTCGGCCTGACGACACTACTGGCTCAGTGCAGTTTGAGTCTGTTCTTGGAACCGTGTGGACACTGTCTGGGTAGCTTTTCCTTCTGACATCTCCAGAAGGAAACTTCAGGGCAGCCGCAGCTTCCAGAGGGCTCGTGCTTCCACCCGCTGTCCCATCCATGCCCACGTCCCTGGGCATATCCGGTTGTGCCTGTGAAGAGGTTTTCTTCCAGTGACAGAGTGTACGTTTTTGGTTTCTTGCCTGTTTTTTCCAGCAGTATCATAGGTAGCTTTCAATTTCCCCACATGTGAATCAGCCTCACTATTTTTGACTCCATGAAGTTAGTGTTCCTTGGTTTGCCAGTACCTTATTTTCTGTTTATTCACGCCCGTACGATGGACATGTAGATTGATTCTGGGTGAACATCCTGAAGTACACATCTTTGGGCGCCTGGAGGGCTCCTGTGGGTTCGGCTGGCCGCTGGGCTTAATGCTGGCTCAGTTGTCCAGCAGTTGGCCTCCAAAAACCATGTTCACATTTGGTGCAGACAGGAGTGACTGTCTCTCTCTCCTTTGCTCGTCTGCTGGCTAGGTGAGCTTCTTGGGGATGGGGCGGTCTTAGCCTGAGCTCACTCCCCTTAGGCCACAGCAGGCAGGAGGGCGCACAGACAGGCGCTACTTTGGGTCCCTCCCTCTCTCCGTAGCTGCCTTGGACTGGAGAACTATTTCATGGTTACCTTGTAATTAGTTTTCACTGTCAGATACAAAGTTTCTACTCCTCCTCCACAGTTAATAGTACTTTTTTTTTTAGAGATGGGAGTCTTACTTCTGTCCAGGCTGGCCTTGATCTTCTGGGCTTGAGGGATCCTCCTACCTCAGTTTCCCTAGTAGCTGGGACTATAGACATACAGTACTGAACCCAGCTTACAGTGTTACTTTGATCCTCATTGTTCTTCCACTCACTGAATGAATGATAGCGTTGAATACCTGCTAGGTACCAGGTCTTGCTGTCTTTATACACATCAACTTGTCCTTTTTTTTTTTTTTTTTTTTGGTCTTTTTGAGATAGGGTTTTGCTATGCACTTCAGGCTGGCCTTGAACTCACTTTGTAGCCCAGGCTGACCTCAGACTCACAGCAATCCTTCTGCCTCAGCCTCCCGAGTGCTGAACTTTTCCATATTTTGAGTAGATTTATGCATGACAGCTTCTGAATTGCTTTCCAAAGGGTGTGGTTTGGGGGTGTGTGTGGGGGGACAGGGGCACAGGGAGCCCTGCAGCTGTCACCGTGTGCAGCTGATGAGTCACGGAGGATGGTCTGCCTCTCCCTGCCCCCTCCCCAAGATGGAGGTTATGTAAGAGTGTGGTGCTGTCCTTTCCCTCTGGGCTTCTGAGTGGCTGGATTTACATTCCTGCCCTGGAGTGGAGCTTGCATAATTTGCTCAAGGTCAGTCGGGGCAGGGTTGGGTAGGTAGGCTGGCAGGCTTTGGAGGGGAACCAGGGACTCCTGTCTCTTGGTGTGACTTGCTGGTCCTTCCCAGAGTCACAGCGACGCAGGCAGGTCTGCTCAGCCCGACCCTACCTGCCACCTGCTCGAAGCCCCAGGCTCTTCCCCAGAGGCACCCCCCAGGCGCACAGCTGTGGTCCTGTCTTCCTGGGGAAGGCTTCTGACTTCTGCTGGGCAGTGCGGGCTGCCCGGCCCTTGTCGGACTGCCCTGTTTCCTGCCCAGCCTCTGGAGGCTGGGCTTCTGAAGGCCTGTCGGGTGGAGCTGCAGAGACTGTGAGCTGTGCGCAGGTCACTCAACGGACCGTGAGCCTTTGGGAGCAGATCTGGGTGGAAGGTCTGGGCGGGGCCAGGCCCGGCCCAGGTTTCCAAGTCAGCTTGCTGCAGGGTGAAGTGAGGAAGCGGAGTGCTGCCTCCCCTTCCCTTCAGTCCTGGCTCCAGACTATGCCCCACTGTTTCCCCCTAAAATTGCTCCTGAGAACTATTTTGTGTGTGCTGTTGGATTTTTAAGAGGGCTGAGCTTCTCAGGGAGGGCAGAGCCGCGTCTCCCGGCCTCTTCTTAATCCTGTCACATGGATGCAGCCACGGTGGGGCGTGGGAGCATGCGGAGCCCGCTGGGCAGTGACGGCCTCATTGCACCTGGGCCTCTAGTGAGTGGGGTGCTGCTGTCTTCTGGCTCTCCCCAGCCCTGGTGCCCCGGCCAGCCTGCTCTGACTCCATCCCTCCAGGGGTCCGTTGCTGTGGCAGGGAGCAGCCTGCCCCTGGGGGTTTGAGGCTGCTGTTCTGAGCTCGGCCATCCTGCTCTCTGGTCCTTGGCGAGTAATCTTCTTAGTGTCCTCCTGCTGTAGCTGATGTTTGCTCTGGATAGAGCGATTTGTTTTTTTTTTGGCAGGTGGCTTGCCTGTTGGGTTTTGGGGATTAGGGGTGAAAGAAGGCATTTGGGGGACGTTAAATGATGGCATTCTGCTTTCTCCCCGAGGGCGGGACCAGTCCAGATGTTCTGGAGGGTCTCCTGTGGGGGCTGGGGCAGAGGGTCCAGGAAGGCCCTGGCTCTGGGGTGGGGGTGGGGAAGGGGAGCAGCAGACCCAGAGATGCTGCATTGAGACTTTCTAGGCCCCGATGGGGGGGGGGACAGCTGCAGAGAAAGACACTCCCCTGACCACTGACGGGGGGGCTCGTTAACCCTGGTAGGGATGGAGAGCGCTCTGGGTCCTTTGCCAGGATGTGCTGCGGGTCTGCTCAGGACTGTGTTACTCAGCTTTCAGTCCAGGGTCGTTACGTGTTGGCTTCTCTTACAGAGGGGCTAGGCTCATCCGTGCCTAAGGCCTGTGCCCTTCCTTCGTGACCTGGGGAGGGGGCTCCTGGCCGGTCTCAGTGACGGATGTGCCTGCAGGGTTAGTTTGGGAGGAAAGAACAAGTGGGAAGCAGAAGGAGTCCCCACACCTGGTGGAGCTGGCAGGGCAGCCCCACCCGCGTCTCCCGTCTGCTCTGTACCCAGACCCTAACGTGGGCCGGCCTACCCATGGTTCCAGACTGCTCATGTGCGAGAAATAACAGTGGCAGCAACAAAAATAGGACAGGGCAGACCGCTCACTTCTCTTCTCTGCTGTGACACGTCCGTGAGCTGGAGCGAGCAAAATTAGCAAACATCTGAAAGAAGGAAAACAGGGCCTGGACCACCAGTTCCTGACTTAATCTCGTGGAGAATTAGGGTTGTTTCTTCCGTGTCGTGCCAGTGATTGGCAGGTGCTGTAACGTCTGCAGCGAAGCCTTCGGGCAGGAATGGGCCCTCCGTTGTGGCAGTGTTTCCTGGCGATCACTCAGACCCTATATCTGAGCTCCCACCCGCCGGGAACTTGCAGTGGTGGGGTGTGTGCAGGTCTGGTTTGCTATTTAGCGGAGTGTGCTGAAAAAATTAATGGAAGCACTCTTGAGTGATGGAGATAGCGGTTTCTCATGCACAGCTCCCGCTCTTCCTAGACAGAGTACATGCGCGGGCTGTCCTGGCTCAGGATGTCAATTTTGTGTACAGTTGATGAAAGCAGAGCCTTCCAGAGGGTAGTGTGGTCATTAGGGCAAAGACTGAGTTACTCTCCCGTGAACACTGGGATGCTTTTATAAACGTTTGTTGACTTAGTGATCTGTAATAGTACCAGGCAGTACATTGCTTTTCATTTTGTTTTGGTGGTGCTGGGGAATCAAACCCAGGACCTCACAAATGCTAACTAAGCAAGTGCTCTACCATTGAGCTACATGCCCAGCACCCCCGGCCCACAAGAAGTACTCTCATAGTTGGTTTTTAAAATAAAGTCACGCTGGAGTGCAGTAAATGTTTAATTTTTTGTAGTATGTTGGATTTCTTCTATGTGGAGAGTTGCCTAATTTGTTAGATTTTATTGTATTTTCTACAAGGAAGGCCATACTCTGAAAGTGGGGGCCTCTAAAGTGAAGAGTTGGGCCCATCCTGGCACATAGGAGGTACTCCATAAGAGTTGGTGAATGAATGAAATCAAAGCTATGTGGAAGGTGTTGCCATCAAAAGCCCTGGTTTCTCCTCAGGGCAGTTAATGTCCCAGCAGCCATCATTCTGTAAGAAGATACATGTAACCGGCAAGAGTGTGAAGTAGCTGGTGCCTGGGAATGTATCTTTGACAGTTAATTCATTCAGCAAATATTTACTGACTGCTAGTCTGTTCTGGGCCCACGCTCAGGCCTGGGGTGGCCTTGAGAAGAGGGCAAAGGTCAGGCTGATCCCCTGTGAACAAAGATTTTCTGAGTGGTTCAAACTCTGGCCATCAGAAGGACGAGACGGCACGTGCATGTCTGCCCACGCCTGGGAGGTGATGGTGCCTGCGACTTCTAGTGCTGGATAATTTTTATTGGTTGTTAATTGTGCCTAATAATTTTCACTGATGGTAAACTAATTTCCATAATTACCAATGCATTTATTCTGGCGGTTCTTTTATTGTGGCAGAAGATGGCCGTGCCTCCCACGTACGTCGATCTTGGCAAGTCTGCCAGGGACGTCTTCACCAAGGGCTACGGTGAGTGCTGGGAGGAGGAGGGGCTTGTGGACTGGTTGACACCTTCATGATTTTACCCGTAGCAGGCCAGCTGGGGAGGCCTGGCTCGGGCAGCTGTGGGGACTTTGAGGTCAGGAAAAAAAGATGAGCCCCGTGTGGCTGGTGAAGCGGTCGGGGCTGTGCACCCAGGAGGAGGGGAGGGAAATTGCTGCCTGTGGAATAGGGTAGGGAAGGACGACATTCTCCTTTTCTCTTGCAAGCGAGGAGCCTTGCTGTTTCACGGCAGTGGAGCATGGCTTCTAAACTTAGCCTGTGGTGCCCACCGGGCCTGGTGACTGCTCTCCAGCTGCCAAGCATCTTCTGCTCAGACCCTGCTGCAGCACGGGGACGCAGGGGACCAGCCCGGGGCCGGGCGCCCTTACCCCTCCAGCGCGCCGCTTGTTTGGAAGCATCTTGAGACAGCCAAGGGGGAGGCAGGGGTGCTGGGGTCGGCTTGGTTGCTTACCTGCCTTATGGTTGTCTTCTCCCTTTAGGGTTTGGATTAATAAAACTTGATTTGAAAACCAAGTCTGAGAATGGATTGGTAAGTTGTCCCACGCACAGGGACTTTGGGTATTTGTCACTGACCCCCAGATGCCTGCCACGCCCTGGCAGGGAGGGCCAGAGGGTTGTGGTAGTCTGTGGTTGTCACGTCATTGTGTCTCTGCGTGACGGTGGCCTGGGAGCCATGCCACCAGGCCCTCAGTTCATGCAAGAGAATGAGGTTGTCCTCAGCTGTCTTCCGTGTGCGTGCGTGTGCATGCGTGTGTGTGTGTGTGTGTGTGTGTGTGTGTGTGTGTGTTTTGTTGTTGCATATGTGTTGCTGGGAATGGCACCTGGGACTTTGAGCGTGCTAAGCAAACGTTCTGCCGCCTAGCTATACCCCTAGCTTCTTCCTTGTGTTTCTTACTTAAAGGTTGATCTGTGTTCAATGCCACATAATTATTTTAAAAAATCTGAGTAGCCCCTTTTAGATGGCACCTGCAGCAGGTGTCGGAAAGGAGAAGTTTTGAGTGTGGATGACTGCCTGGCAGCTTCAGCTCTGCACCTCTTCTCTGTACTAGGTTGGAGGCAGGAGGGAAGTGGGGTGGCCAAGAAGTGTCCAGACCTCAGGATACAGGGGAGGCAGGAAGCTGCCTCCTGACTGGGAATTCCCCACCAGATCCTGTCAGGTAGCAGGCTCTTGTGCCTCTATCTGCGCTTGAACTCTGTAACTGACCTGCAGAAGCAGCTTCTGCCCGCCTGTGCGCTGGGGCTCGTCTGTTGCAGCCAGGCAAGCAGCTGAGGCCCGGGGTGAGCGAGGCTGTGCTGGGCTGCAGGCTGTGACTCTGCTCTTTCCCTTCGCAGGAATTCACAAGCTCAGGCTCAGCCAACACAGAGACCACCAAAGTGACGGGCAGTCTGGAAACCAAGTACCGGTGGACCGAGTATGGCCTGACGTTCACGGAGAAGTGGAACACGGACAACACCCTCGGCACCGAGATCACCGTGGAGGATCAGGTAGTGGCCCGCAGCGGAAAGGCCCGGCTTCCTTTTCTGGTGCACGCCTGCCGCCTGCCTCGGGACTGACCTGTGTCGCTTGTCTTTCCTGCCCAGCTTGCGCGTGGACTGAAGCTGACCTTCGATTCGTCCTTCTCGCCCAACACTGGGTAGGATTCTCACCTCCTTCCCCCATGAGGATGCAGTGTGATGTTGCGGGTCCTGGGAGCCGTTTGTGACACTGGGTTTTGGGGACGGGGCTGACGTTGCCTAAAAGGCGACCTGGAGATTCAAGTTCCCTGGTTGGATTTGGGTCCAGGACAGATCCATGTCTGTCTGTTCATGAACTGCGCTGGCGTGAGCACTCCTTGGGCAGGAATGGTATGAACTGGCATTTTTTTTTTTCTTTGCGGTGCTTGCACATGCTAGGCAAGCATCTACCACTGAGCTATACTTCCAGCGCAAGAAATGGTTTCAAGAGCCTCCTCTGCTTGGCCTTGTGCCCCTCTGCGGGATCTGAAGACGCCCAAGCCAGGCTGCTACCCCCACCCCAGCTTCTCTTTTAGTGGACAGTGCGGACCATTGCTGAGCAGTCTGTCCCCTCCCCTCTGTCTCTTTCTCCACCTCCCCTTCTTTCCTTAGGCCTAGGTCTCCAGCCTAGTGCCTTATGCATGTTAGGTGAGTACTCTACCACTGAGCTATGTCCCAACCCAGCTTACTTATTTTATTTTTTGTGTTATATTTGTTACTAGAGGGGCTTGCTAAGTTGCCCAGGCTGGCCTTGAACTTGGTTATTCCTCCCGCCTCTGCCTCCCAAGTAGCTGGGCTTACAGGCATGCACCCTGTGCCTGGCTTGGTGGTATTTTCTAATCAGGTTCTGCGTTGTCACTGTGCCCGGTGGTAGGCTGCAGGATTCCTGGCCTTGTCCTGCCCCGTTTCATGTGAGCTAGGAGTTGGTCGTGTAGGTGGCCAGGGCTGGTGGCAGCAGATGACGTCTGGATGTAAAAGCTAACGAGTCACTACTGCCAGCCCATTCTTCAGGTATGCAGAACCCTTCTCCCAGTGCCCTGCTTAGGAAAACTGGGACCTTGTGGGCCGGTGGGTCCTGAGGCCATGCTTCCCTTGCCTTGGCAGGCACCCTGGGCACAAACGGATCAGGCTTTTGCTTATTGACCCATCGGGAGGCAGGCAGGATAGAGTCGCCTACACCTGCGTCAGCTCCTGGGTGCTTGTCTTTCCGTTTGCCTTTCTGTTTTGTTCTATTTTATGTTCCGTTTTGTTTTGTGTACTGGAGATTGATCCCAAGGCTGTCATACTGAGCTACATCCACAGCCCTTTTAAGCATTTTTAGTTTGAGACGGGATCTCACTAAGTTGTTAAGATGTCTGCGCTGGTCTCAAACTTGTGATCCTCCTGCCTCAGCCTCCCAGAATATTCTGGGTGCCTTTCTAAGTGGCTGGGAGAAACTGCTTTTTTCTGGAATACATTCTTGGGTTTTTTTCTTCTTGGACTGGTGTTTCTTCTAAGTCCAGGAAAGGCAGTTTGCCACGCTGGTGGTGGAGTCAAGGACAGTTTTGAATTTTTTGGTTTATCTCTCTCGGTAGAATTTACCATCTGCATCTCTTCAAGTGTATGGTTCGGCAGCGTTACGAGCTTTACTTTCTGCTGTTCCACGTCATCTTCCTCTCTCATCTCTCCTGCTGCTGTTTATTACAGGGAGGGTGTAGTGAGACCTGGTGGGCAGGCAGGGCTCCTGTCCTCTGCCGAGAAGTCCTCTCATGACTTGGGGGACAGTCTGGAGACACTGGCCTGGCCTGGTGACCTCTGGTTCACCTTTGTGTGTTCCTCCGGCTGGTGTTGCCATCCCGCACCCCGCCATCCTGTCAAGGAAAGTTATCCAGACTCTGGTACGCGGGGCTGGGGGGCAAGCTGCGTGCTTGCATTTGTTGCCTGGACTTTGCTCTCCCAAGGTGGCGTACTTGGAATTCGTAAGGGATTTGTCCTGACCTGTGGGAGGGTTGCGGAGTTATTTCTAGGCCTTGCAGTTATATACAAAGTATTTTTTCTCCTTAAAGGTAACTTTTTATTTTGAACTAATTTTGTACTCGTCATACAGAATGTCATTTAAAAATGTGATAAAAATAGTAGTAGAGCTCCCCTGTATTACTCCCCCAGAGTTAAGTCATCCATAACTATCGGGTTAGATAACCCTTAGTTATTGCAGGCTGATCAGGCCCGCAGTCTCCCAAGCGAGTGGATGGCGAAGGCTTAAATAAAGGAGACAATAGAAATGATTTCAGGGCTCCAGGAAGAACTGACTCTCTTACAGCTTCAATATTCTCTGAGTTTAGCCAAAGACTTCTGTGGGCAGCCTGTGTTTATTTGGTTTACAAACAAAGGAGGAGGATACTCAAGAAAACTGGGGAATCTGGGCAGGACTTTTCCAAGTAATACATTATGTTAATGTAGGAGAACTATTTATCTCCTGGAAGGCCTTCACAGCAGGGGTGAGATGCCTGCAGCTATAGTCTCCTTTAAGTTAATTGGGGTTGGAGCCACAAGTCAGCTGTGGCCTTAGCTTGTCCTTTGAGGTGTCACAGTTTCATAGGCCTCAGGGTGACCAGAGACTCACAGCCGTTTACTTACTATGAATCCATTGCCTGTCTTCCAGCAAGGTGCCTAAGCTTTAGACAACTCACTAGTAAACGTGAAAAGCCAATTGATTAATATTAAATCCTGCTCAGAGCCACTTTGTAGTGGGCCCCAATGCAAAACTGTAGGTCAGTTATTCACACCATGAGTTACACAGAATGAAATTTCTATTGGTGTTTGGTTGTTTGGCACTGCTGGAATTGAACGTGACATCTCACACATGCCAGGCAGGTGCTCTAACCCTGAGCTGTACCCCAGCCACAGAGGACTGTGGTCGCATAAGACTAATGAAGCTGAAAAATTCCTTCTATCTGGTGACATCATAGTGCAGTGCGTTATTCATATGCTTTTTTTTTTTTTTTTTTTGTCATTTTGGAGACAGGGTCTCGCTATGCAGTTCAGGCTGGCCTTCAGCTCACTTTGTAGCCCGGGCTGACCTCGGTCTCGAACTCACAGTGATCCTCCTGCCTCAGCCTTCCCAGTGCTGGGATTACAGGCATGCACCACGCCTGGCTCTTTGCATGCTTGTGGTAATGCTGATGTAGAAAAACCTGCTGTGCCACCATTGTATAAAAGTACTGTATAGCACTTATGTGCTGCACATGGCAGTGCATGCCTGCACTCCCAGCATTGTGGGAGGCTGAGGCAGGAGGGTTGCGAGTTTGAGTCCAACCTGGATAGCTTAGTGATTTAACGAGACAGTCTCAAAAAAAAGTAGAAAGGGCTGGGAGTGTAGCTCAGTCAAAGGTTCAGTCATCAGTACTACCCCCTCCCGCAAAATGTACACTACATAGTACTTGATCAAGATCAATGACTCCGGTACTGGTGTAAGTGTTTACTGTAGTTTTTATTGTTATTTAGAGGGTGTTCCTGCTCCTTAAGAGAGTTAGCAGAAAACAGTGCCCTGTATCCTACCAGCCACAGCCTCCTGCGTCTCTTGTATGTGTCTCTCGAATGCATCAAGAGGCTGTGTTACAGCAGAGCGCAGTGACACACATGTGTGATTCCAGCTGCTCTAGAGGCTGAGGCAGGAGGGCCACAAGTTTGAGGCCAAACCTGACAACTTTGTGAGACTCTGTCTCAAAATGCAACTTAAAACGTAGCTCCGGATGTAGCTTAGTGGTAAATTGCTTGCCTAGCGTGTGTGAGCCCCTAGATTCATTCCCAAGTACCGAAAGAGAGAAAGGAAAGGAGGGAGGGAGGGAGGGAGGGAGGGCTTTCTGAGTAACTGACCTCAGCCTTCTCAGTTTGTGTAAGTACACTGAATGAGTTTGCTTAACGAATAAATCATTCGTGGTGTGTTTCTCAGAACGTGTCCATCAGTAAGCAGTTAGCAGAACCAGCAAGGTAATGCCGGCCTCACCCTGTCAGTTACTGTCCCACGGATGCCGTCTCTCCGTTGCATTGTCCTGCTGATGTTTCCTTTCTGCTTCATGATCTGCTTCAGGATCCTGCATGCGTTCAGCTGTCAGGTCTGCTTCCTCTGCTTCTCAGTCTGGGTCCCCCATGACCGGACAGTTCTGAAGCGTGGCCAGTTATTTTGTGGAATGTCCTCTGACGTGGGTTGGCCCGAAGCTTCCTCGTGATGATCCTCAGGTTATGCGTTTTTGGCATCCGCGAGGCTGTTGCGTCGTGTGCCCAGTGAGTGCTTGCAGGCGGATGTGCCAGTGTGCTCTGCGACTGCGAGGCTGACTTCGGGCCCTTGGTTAAGGTGGTCTGCTAAGTCTCTACTTTGTACAGCTCCTCTTCTGTCTTTGTAACTAGTGGGTGTCTTATGGGGAGATACTTCAGACCACATGTTTTTTATTTTTCATCACTCGTGCTTTGGCTTACAAATGGGAGCATCCTTTAGTGATCGGTTTTGGTTTTGTTGTATTTTTTTGAGACAGGGTCTCGCCGTATAGCTCAGGCTGGTCTCAGAGTTGTGACAGTCCTCCTGCCTCAGCCTTCTGGGTGTAGGGCATGTGCCACCATACCCAGCACCCCTTGGTGATTCTTTTTTTTGTGTGTGTTTTTTGAGACAGGATCTCGCTATGCAGTTCAGGCTGGCCTTGAGCTCACTTTGTAGCCCAGGCTGGTCTCAAACTTCCAACGATCCTCCTGCCTCAGCCTCCCAAGTGCTGGGATTACAGGTGTGTGCCACCACGCCTGGCTCCCCCTTGGTGATTCTTGTCTGAGCTGTTAGGTTTGGCAAATGATGATTTTCTATTCTCATTATTCATTTACTTATTAATTGGGATTCTACTACAAGAAAGATGTTTGGGCTTTGGACTTAACTCAGCGGCACAAGCACCTGCTTGGCAAGCACAAGGTCCTGAGTTTGATTCCCAGTACCAAAAACAAGAAGAAAAGAAAAAGCTGTTTTTTCCTCTTTACGTATTTAATTATTTATATTAATATGAATCCATGAGTATTTACTTATTTATTTATTTAGTCTTTTTGAGACAGTTTTGCTGTGGAGATGAAGCTGGCCTTGAACTCACTTTGTAGCCCAGACTCGCCTCAAACTCACCGTGATCCTCCTGCCTCAGGCTCCTGAGTGCTGGGGTCACATGCATGTACCACTACGCCTAACTCATGGGCATTTACTATCTTACTTTACTTTTAAAAATCTTTGCGGTGCTGGGGATTGAGCTCAGGGCCTCTCCCACGTTAAGTGGGTGGTCCGAAGAAGCTGAGTTAGACCTCGTCTTCCGGGGCTGCTGACCTTGTTAGTGATCGGCTCTTACCTTCGGTGTCTGCGCAGAGGAAGCCAGCTTGTCACCACAGGTTACGTCCAGGACTCCCCAGTGCTTGGCAGATTCGCACTGCTGCTCGCACAGCTTTTAAAACTCCCAGTGATACTTGAGAAAGGAAAGGCTCCCCCGCTGTGGTCACCGTGCTGGAAGCGCACAAACCTGGGGAGGAGCCTGTGCTGCCCAGCCTGGCCTTTTCCCTGCTGACCACAGCTCTGTGAGGCTGTGCAGACCGGTGGTGTGAACACACTGCTCAGACGCCTGGGCGTGGCATCTGTCTTTGGGGTCAGCAGGAGCCTGACCCCATCTGCTGCTTACAGGATGCCTTGTGGGTACATTTTGGGCCTTCCTGTCTTCTGAAAGACAGCCACGTTGTGATCAGTTGCTGCCCTCACCTTGTATGCAAACCCAATCTGCTGCCACTGAAAGAGCAAGGAGACCAGGAAAGATGGTCTGGAGTTTTTCTTTTTGAGAGATAAGTTGTTGCTAGTTCTTCTCATCAAAGCTTGCCAGAGTGACAGAAGCAGCTTGAGTGGATTTGAGGTCCCAAGCTGTACGTCTCTTTGTCACGTGGGAAGGGTGTTGACTTTACTTTCAACTGTGACCTACAAAATTCTTACCTTGTTGAGAACTTGTTTACATTTTAATTTTTTTTCTTTTTTTTTTTTATCTTTTTGAGACAGGGTCTGGCTATGCAGTTCAGGCTGGCCTTGAGCTCACTTTGTAGTCCAGGCTGGTCTTGAACTCGCAAGGATCCTCCTGACTCAGCCTCCCAAGGGCTGGGATTACAGACGTGTGCCACCATGCCTGGCTCACTCCACAAATTCACATGATTATTTTATGATTTTTCCTTGTAGAATCAAGAGTAGTTCATGAAAAATTAGAAACAAATTGAGTTATGGCTCTGCAGTCTCTTTTTTGAACTTTGAACCTCTAATCTGCGTTGATTCTCTTGCCTTGGCTTTGTGAGCGGTGGAGCATAGGTGTGCACCTCTTCGCCTGCCTACTGTGCAGTCTCCCAGTTTGCAGATTCTCTTCTCTTTCTTTCCCCCTGGCCTTTTCTTTATTGAAATGAGATCATACCGACTGGATTTCGCTGTGAAATAATACCTCCGCGACATTCTTCAGTGCATTCCTCTGCCTGCTTGTATTTTCTGTGAGTCGGTAAGTTAGGGTCCGGATCAGCTCTGGGTTCAGTTTCAGGCAGGGGCTGAAATGGAGATGATGCTATATCATGTGAGATGCCCCTGTAAGGCCTCTTTTCTCCTTGCAGGGGGTTAGCACCATCCGTGATCCAGTAGTAACTCAGTAGGGAGTACAAGATGGGGATAATCCCACTTTCATAATTCTTCCACTTATTGCTGGACTATTTCAATTAAAAAATTCTCACTATTTGGTGACCTTAAGGTGTACTTAGACGGAGGAGAAAAATCAGTGTTTGATTTCTGTCTTTTACTTTATCATCTTCAGAACAGCAGCTTGGTTCTGCAGTCTCTAAAGACGATTGTGTGCTTTGTGTGTCATTTTGAATTCCTAGATTCAGCGTATTTTATATGTTCTAAACTACTGGTGTTATTCTTATTGATGCTCATGCTGTTCCATCTTTCAAACCTTGGAGCCTTTCCATGTCTGCTCTTTTTTTTTTTTTTTTTTTTTGTCTTTTTGAGACAGGATCTTGCTATGCAGTTCAGGCTGGCCTTGAGCTCACTTTGTAGCTCAGGCTGGCCTTGAACTCGCAACGATCCTCCTCCCTCAGCCTCCCGAGTGCTGGGATTACAGGCGTGCACCACCACTCCTGGCTTCATGTCTGCTCTTTTTTTTTGTTTGTTTGGTTTTTTTCTGTTTTTCTTCCGGTACCAGGAATCGAACTCACGACCTTGTGCTTGCCAGGGAGGCGCTTTGCCGCTGAGCTAAATCCCCAGCCCCCACATCTGCTCTTAAACCCTCACATCCTTGGTAGCTTTGGTAGATACTTCAGGCTTTATCTCATTTGGCCCGAGACCTGTAATTGGCCATTTCTCCAAGAACCAGTGGATCCTGTGAGGAGGGAGTGGAGTTTAGCGCCCACAATCTCGGTGTGAATAAAGAAAGCTAGGAGTAGCTGGGGCCGCATCGCCCTGGGGTCTCTGAGCAGATCTGTCTCCTGTGGTCTCCGCTGAGAGTGCAGCTGGTGCTGGGACAGCGGGTCCCTTTCATAGCTAAGTAACAGAGACAGTCCGGTGAACACAGTCGTAGTTCATCTGTACATTGCCAGATGTAGTCTTGTTCTCTACTTTTGGTAAAAGACAAGGTGACACTTACGTTTGCGGATGAGCTGGAGGGAGAGCCAGCCGAGGCACTGAACTAGTCATAGTTTTCAGTGTGGCATCGTCAGCCTGAACTAGGGGTCGTGTCTGGCCAACCGGGACTCCTGGGCCCCTTGTCTGCGGGGCCCTGAGTTCTACATCCATACGCAGTTCTCTCAGTTATTGTGGGTCTGATGAATATCGCGCCACTGCCCGCTTCCTGTTGCGCTCACTCAGAAGGGATTGACTGCGTTGTCACTTTCTGGGTGAGCCAGAAGGAACTTGACCGTCTCCCTGAACTGCAGTTCGGATAGTTGCCTCCCTGGCGGACACATTTCTTGCACAGGTTTGGAAGGTAGCGGATGCATCTGTTTCATAATTATCAGGCTCTGCCTAATAAGTGCCTGTGGCCAGGGCCCCATGAAGCTTGTGGAGAAGGTAGAAAGGGAAACCTAGCGCTTACTTGTCTGGCTTCTCCTGCTGTTCCCTCACTTCACCGCTTGGTTTCCTGCAGACTGGATTCCAGTCCGAGGGCGGCCGTGTCCTGCTCATGGTGACGTAGCAACTCTTACAGGAGAACTGGGGCCCTGACTTCTGACCCATACACATGTGCACTCCCTTGTTTAATTGAGACTTTAAATTTCTTTTCCATTTTTTGGCATGATTGTACCAAGGCGAGTTAGCTTCTAATTTTAATAAAATCGCTTTTCCTTCAGGAAAAAAAATGCTAAAATTAAGACGGGATACAAGCGGGAGCACATCAACCTGGGCTGCGACGTGGACTTCGACATCGCGGGGCCTTCGATCCGTGGTGCCCTGGTGCTGGGCTACGAGGGCTGGCTGGCTGGCTACCAGATGAATTTTGAGACCGCCAAGTCCCGAGTGACCCAGAGCAACTTTGCAGTTGGCTACAAGACGGATGAGTTCCAGCTTCACACTAATGTGTAAGGGGACACGTCGGGTTGGAGTAGTAGGGCGGCTGCGCTTCATTTTCTGAGCCTACATTTTAATCACCGCAGTGTAGTTTATTGCCGTCGGAGAAGCCAGGTGATCCGCTAGCATTGTTTCCTACCTACCCATTTCCTAAATTGTCTTAGGTTCTTTCTGTTCTGTGAACCACAGATATTGCCCCTGGTACCCATCAGAGGACGGACTAATCTCAGTAGGGCTGAGGCAGTTCACTTCCTGAGATTTTCCGGGCCCTGGAGGTCCTTTGGGTTCCAGCTATCAAATCAGGGGACTGGGTAGAAGAGATGCAGCTTTCTTCCTGCAGATAATGCTTGAGGGTCACCTTGCTGTGCTTCGTGAAATGCTGGGATGGCAGACAGATGAAGAGGTGCTGAGCTCACAGATATACGAAGTGTTTTTCCGCATGGTTGGGTGTTTAACAGTTGATTAACCATTGGACAGTGTGAAGGGAAGCAAAGGACACAGGATAGGTCCGAGAGGCCCAGTATGATCAAACCTGAGGGTTGAGGTGGGGTGACGTAGGTTAAGCAAAACACAAATTCCAACCATAAAAATCACTTCCTTTTAGTTCTGTGAGGAGTGAACTTGTGGCACCAGATGGGTACAAGTTTGCCTACTGTCTTTCTTTCCACTAGAGGTCGCTAAGGAAGTGGCCTTTTGAGACCCGGAAGTGGTGTTAATTTGTAAACTATTTCCAGTTATGTTTTGTGAGGAATTTTTAGCACTAGTTTAAAAATGTGAGTCTTTTAAAACTTAATAGTCTCAGAAAGACTAGAGAGGTGGACAGTCCAGTGGTTGCCAGGGGGACAGGAAGGTGTGGTTCAGAGGGAAGGGTCCCTTGAGGGAGTTTGGGCTGACTGAACCCTTCTTCGTGGTGATCACCATGCTGAGTATGCAGATCTGCACATGTGTTGATATTTATAGAAACATACTTCAGTACAAGGTCGATTTCATTGTATGTTAATTAAAAAAGGGGAGATACATAGGAAAGACACTAAGGCATTGAAATGTTTTTAAATTCAGAACTCTTGACTGGAAATAGCAGGTGCTTCCTTGGTTTAGGACTGGGAGTTGGCATCAACTCTGGGAGGAAGCATGGCTGCTCCATTCCCCCCCGACCTGAGGCTCAGCATTTTCAGTAAATCCCAGGGGGACCTGCCTTCTTCTGGGAGCTGGCATGGAGTCAGCCGACTTACCTCCTCCGCCTTGCTGCCCCGGTGCTGCTGGGCCCCACATGTGGAACAGATGTTCCTTGTGCTCCCGTAGGTAAATTGGAGCAGGGAGCTCCCTCTGCTTATGGTTTTGGAAGCCCCGTACAGGAGTATTACATTTGTCATTTTAGAATGTTCTGGGCATTCTGATCTTTAAAAAACAAAAAACGAAAACACAATTAAGCCCAAGAAATTTCCCCATTTAATTATCATATTAAAGCCAAGAGAAAGTCTGTTACTTTTGACAGGCTGCTGTAGCGTGCTTGGGCTGTTCAAAGATGACAGAGTCACTGCGAATCCTGATTCCTGTCTCCTGGGCTCTTCAGTACAGTGTCTGGCTGAATCTCAGGGCAGCTTAGGAATTAGGCTGGCTTCAAACTTGCCATGTAGCGCAGGCTGGCCTTGCATCTGTGATCTCCTGCCTTAGGTCCCGAGGGAGGAATTTTTAGATGTGTGTCACTGCACCAGCCTGTCCCGTTCCTGTCTGGCTTCTTGTATTTAGTTTCTCTTTTGTGAAATTTGGCAAACTTCTGGCCTTCTTAGTACCAGTGACTGGTTCAGTCTGTTTTCAGCGTGTGTGGATTCTCGCCATCGTGGGCAGCTCTGTGGGTACCAGCTCACATCCCTGGTCAGTGTGGCTTCTCCGCTGTGCTTGTTTGCAGGAATGATGGGACAGAATTTGGTGGCTCCATTTATCAGAAGGTGAACAAGAAGTTGGAGACAGCTGTTAATCTTGCCTGGACAGCAGGAAACAGTAACACTCGCTTCGGAATAGCAGCCAAGTATCAGATCGACCCTGATGCCTGCTTCTCGGTGGGTACCTGTGGAATCACTCATCTGCCAGCATTGTTTCCACCTAGAGATTCTCTCACTGAGAAGAGTTCCAAACAGTACAGTGATAGCTGGGCATGGTGGTGCACACCTGTGAGCTCAAGGCCAGCCTGGGCTACATAGTGAACTCAAGGCCAACCTGAACTGCATAGTGAGATCCTGTCTCCAAAACACAAAAACAAAGCCGGGCATGGTGGCGCATGCCTGTAATCCCCGCACTCAGGAGGCCGAGGCAGGAGGATCATTGTGAGTTCGAGACCAGCCTGAGCTACAAAGTGAGCTCAAGGACAGCCTGAACTGCATAGCAAGACCCTGTCTCAAACAAAAAAACAGAACAAAACCCCACAAAAACAAAACCCAAAAAACCTCCCTCCCTCAAAATAAAAACAAAACATACCCCAAACAAAAAACAGTATAATGATAATAGGTGCTAGGCCTTTTACATGTGGATTTTTGCATATGGTCCCATTTGAGATGGACACTGTTTTGTTTTCTTTTTAAATTATCCTTCTTCAGCCAGGCATGGTTGCGCACACCTGTAATTGCAGCTCTCGGGAGGCTGAGGCAGGAGGATCATTATGAGTTTGAGACCAGCCTGGGCTACAAAGTGAGCTCAAGGCCAGCCTGAACTGCATAGCGAGACCGTGTCTCAAAAAAGACGTACTCCCCGCCAAAAAAATTATCCTTTTTCTTACGCAAGAAGCTTAGGAAGATGTCCACAGGCACACAGCAGGTGAAAGGGGGGACCTGCACTGACCAGACAACCTTGTTACTGAGCCTTTTCCTTCTACCAGGCCCTGATCCTTTGTGCAAACTGTAAAGAGGGTTGCCCTGAGGCCTGGAGTTTTAATGTTTATTTTCGCCCTCCTTTTTCATTCTTGTTTTCGGTTCCTGCAGTGCATGTTGAGCAGCGGGCAGTCGGTGTCTTGTCTTGTAGGCCCTGTGGCGTTGCTTGTGGGAGGTTGAATTGCCTCACAGGTTTTGGACTGAATCCTGTTGGGTTCATTCCTGTCCTCCCGGCCACTGTGACTCTGCACCGCCTCGGGTGGAATGAGGAAGAAGTCTCAGGTTACGGAGTGGTGTCTGCCCGCTTGTATAATTTGTAGACAATCCATCTTGAGTCTCCTGAACTGGCAACTGAATTTGGCTTCCTCAGTGTTAGGCACGTTAAAAACAAGGGGAGGGGGCCTCACCGTTTTGATGTTATGAGCAGAAAGCTGTAGTTAGAAGGGGCTGTTCGCCAGCAGCTTTCATTCTCCCTCTTTGGTCTTAGGAAGAATGTCAGAGCTCGCAACACCTTGAGCAGGAAAATGTGCATCTGCTCGCTGTATTTATTTCATACTGAATTTCAAAAGTGAGGTGGTGACGGAGAGTTTGATTCTAACGCCCAGACTTGGTGGAATAAAAAGCTCTTAGGCATTTTGTAGATGGAAGGATGAAACTTAGCCTTTTCACTGTTTTATCTTTCTCCTGCCTAGGCCAAAGTGAACAACTCCAGCCTGATTGGTTTAGGATACACTCAGACCCTAAAGCCAGGTATGCCTTGCATGTGTGTGAAGGCAGTTCTCTTAAAGTGTGATGTGGGTTTTGCTGATTTATGCTGTTGCTTATAAAATGCCCGTACAGGGCAGGGTAATGAATGTATATGAAGTTTTGTAATTAAGCGTTTAAAAAGAAGCCACAGGGTTACTCTAAAACATTTAGACAATATGAGAAATAGTAAATAGAAAAAACAGCAAAGTTAATATATATTATATTTTTTATTATTTTCTTTTTTCCTGCTGTGTACATAATGTTTGATACTTATTTCCAGTGAATTCTCACAACTGGCCTATAAATCGCCACCATGATAAAAGACAAAAATGGAAAAAGTGGTTTGTAGGTCTTTGCTGCATAATCAGCTGGGCTAGTCCATCACCTCTGAACCCCGGCAGGCTAAGATTACATGATAGCGGAATCCAGTCGCCCCTGGGGAAATCAGTTTGCCTCGTGCATGTGTGTACTCCATGTGTGTGCGAGCACTAGGAAGGTGCATGTAAACTCGGGGCGAGTCAGGAGTGCGGTTTCCCCGTGTGAGACAGTCGCTGAGGAGGCTGACTGTGTGGTTCAGTGACAGCCAGACTAATTGTAGCAGAGGGCTGATGAGAAGGGAAGGAAAGTTTCAGAGGTAGAGGTACACTGGCTCTCTGGTCCGTGCCGTTGTAGGTCAGATGGCGTTAAGTACCGGGGACTCGGGGCCCATCCCTTGGCCCTTGCTGATGAACCTGGAGCCTGAATTTGGTGTTAACCTTTCTTTGCCTTCCTCTTCCTCTCCCTGCTCCCCGCCCCCACTGCAGGAATCAAACTGACACTGTCAGCTCTGCTGGATGGCAAGAACGTCAATGCCGGCGGCCACAAACTTGGTCTAGGACTGGAATTTCAAGCATAAATGCATATTGTACAATTGTTAATTTTAAACTATTTTGCAGCGTAGCTACCTTCAGAATTTAGTGTACCTTTTAATGTTGTATGTCTGGGATGCAAGAATTGCTAAAAAAATCATGTTAGACTTCCAGGTTAAAGATGATTCAGCTTTAAGGTGTTACAGATTCAGAGGTACAGAAGAAACCTGATTCCAAAAAAGGACCTTTCAACAGTACACGTGTAGGAACTTGGTGGCTCCTCTAGGGATGCCAGGTTCCTTTTTTTAAAAAAAATCTAGACATGGCTGCAAGTGGAAGCTGATGGTGTGTAGGCACTTTGTAAATCAGCATTGAGTATATGAATGAATTGTGACTTTCTGAGAGTCAAACCTTGGTTTCCTAACCCTGATTGGTGAGAAGCTCGTGGCTTGATGCTGTGTACAAACTCATCCGAAAGGGACTTTTTTAGACAGACCTTCACACCCTGTTCCCGCCCCAGCCCCCCATCACCTCTTTTACACCAAAAGTAGTCCACAGGGTGCAGTAGCTGTTTCTTTTGTGCCATTTTGGGGTGGAGAGGGGGATGCAATGAAGCCAATCATTCAGGATTTAATTCCTTTTCATGTCGTGGTTCTTTTGCCCGTGCACCCGTGTATCCCAGCTGTAAGCTGGGAAACCTGCCTGACTGCAATGACACAGTGACAACACTAGGAGTCTAAATTGGGCATATGTTGTATTCTTACCACTCAGTTTATTTTTCAGCAGTTTATTGGGTACATTTTAGAGTCTTCCATTTTGTGTGGAATTAGATCCTCCCCTTCAAATGCTGTAATTAACATCACTTAAGATAAAACTTGAATAAAATATTGAAACCTCATCCTTCTGTTGTCTTCATTCATAAAAATGTGAACAGGGAACTTGTTTAGATTTGTCCTTTTTCCCCTTGCTCTCTGTGTATATTTTGTATGATCATCTCTCTTTTGATGCCTAACGATGACCATAAACGTAGTGGCCTGAAAGAACCCTCACTTACATTATAGTTCTACAGGTAAGAAGCCCAGACAGGTTCTCACAGTGCTGGGAGTTAGGCTGTCAGGCTGTGTTCTCATCCAGCAAGAGGCTGGCGGTCTTGTTTCTGGCCTGCATGGGTGTGGCCGAATTGGATTCTGTTGTAGGATAGAAGTGCCCATTCCTTGCTGACTGCTGAAGTCCACCCTCAGTGCTTAAAGGTCACCAGCCTTCTTTGCCACATGGCCCCTCCCACCTCCAGTGCCAGGGACAGAAAAACTCCTTCATTCCTTCATGTCTTACTCCCTTTGTGCTTCAAATCTCCAGGAAGAGCTGCATCCCTTTTAAGGGCTCACTTGATTAGGTTAGGCTCACTGAGAGTAATCTAACATAAACCTAATGGCTGGGTAAAGTCACCCCATCACAGGTGTGGCATCCATCCTATTCACAGGGTTCTCTCTGGATCGTTGAGGGGAGGTCATTGAAGAGAAGGTCATTTTGGACTTCTATATTATTTTAATAATCTGTGAAAATATCATACACAGTAATAGTGACTTTTTGTTTGACATTTTTTCTGTTCATGACGTTAGGCAGTATATGGTCCTCATGGAGGTCTGGGGAGTTTATATTTGTAATCTCGTGGAAAAGTTACTGGAATTCTAGTGAGTTAATTCCAGTCTGTGTTGGTTTGGGGGATATTTTGCAAGAAGAGCAATATAATACAGGACACGTATTTTATAAGATTGTTATAGTCACCCAAAGAATGATATACAAAAGAGTACAGGAAATCTGTCCACACACTAAGACCAAGGAAACTAGCAGAGGGCCTGGATCCCACAGAAATGTCCTGCATGAGTCCAGCTGAAGACCTAGATCTCACAACAGTGCCTCTCACAAGTCCAACTGGAGGCCTAGAGCCCATAACAATATCTTAATGCAGGCCTGTTTCATGGATCTGTGCTAGGAAGGCCCAAAGGTATGTGGTGGAAGCTAGAAAGTCTGTGCCAGCAGGATGAAGGATCTGTGCTAGCAGGCTGAAGGATCTGTGCTAGTGGGCTGAGGGATCTAAACGAGCCAGGAAGTGACGAGGTCTCGAGATCCTCTGATGATCAAGATGGCTGAGTTCCTGTCAGGAAAGCCAACGCAGCAAGCTTCTCCAGGAGACTAGCAGTGCCCCATCTTCCCCTCTGGAGCCAGGAAGCGATGCTCAAAGTGAGGACCAGAGCTCCCCCAAAGTGAAATGAAGCTATTTTCAGTGCCAACAAGGTCCTGAGCTCCTTGGAGGATGAAAACAGGCAAGTTCATCAGGAAAGCCAGCATGACGAACTCCTCCAACAGAACCAACAGCTCCTTACAGCTTCTGCCAGCTCCCAACAGCCTTTCTCTGCTCCCAAAAGCCTACTTTCTCCAGTTCTGCCTCTTATGCTGCTGGCAGTAATCCTCAGGTGGGCTTCCTGCACCCAGCACCACGCTGACTCAGTTCAGCTGGGGGTTATAAATTGACCACCAGTTGTCAATCCACTACACAATCTACCACTTCCAGTGCAACCCATGGCAGGAATAAAGACACTACGGCATATTGGTAGTTGTAGGGAGCCAAGGGGGTCCTAAGTCCAGCTACTATGACAGAGGCCAAGACCCAGGGCTGACCCCAGGTTTTATTAATTCATCAAGAATGGAGTGGCTTGGGGATGAAGGACTGTAGTTGCGGTGGGAAGTACTTGAGGGAGCGCTGTGAGCTGGACGAGGCAGGAGGCCTGAAAACAGCTCTGCACTATGCAGAGCAAAGGATATGCAGAAAGTAATCTGCGTAACACAATTTGAGGTAGTATCTAATGTTTTGGGGTTGGTGCTTCAGCTCTGATGTGAAATCTTTTAAACACTAGGAAGACATAGCCTCTTATCTCAAGGCTCATCCCACCTGGCTCACACATGTTTTTGGGAGCTAGGGGGTGGGGTAACACTGACCTGTCACCTTGTTTCAAGGAGTACACATCTGAACCGCCACCTTGCTAGACCGATTTGCATTGTTTAAAGTCAATTGAAGGAATATGGAAAAGTCCTAGCCAGCTCTCTATATATCAATATGGAAACACAGCCAGATTTAGCCAAAATGGAGGTAACTGCCCTTCATGAAGAGTCATCCAGGTGGTCCTGCACAAGGCACAGTTCCTCTTTTGGGGTTTGAAAGTGACATTCAAAACAGGTAGCAGATTTAGTCTTAGCGTTTGTGTCAACCAAAGAATGGCCTCAGTATTTTTGTCATGCCATTTTCAGGTTTATAAGGACTTGCAGCTGTTTCTAAGTGAATGCTTAGAATTTGTTCAGAGCTTCTGGCACATAAGGTTGCTGGGTAGACAGGTCAGGTGCCAGGTACAGTGTTAACTATTTGGAAATAAATAAAGGGTCCTCTGAGTAAAAGGGGCTATCTGCCCGCCAGTTACTAAGTGTCTGCCTATTGTAGACAGTGTTGGAATATCACTGTGCAAGACAGTCTGAGTTCATAATTTCTCACCAGTTCACGGAATTGAGATAATCTTAGGAGGACAAATGGGCAAGGGGACAAAGGACCAGGGTAGAGGTCTGAAGTGTTTATTACAGAAAAAGTCCTATTTAAGTCTGAAGCAATCTCCAAACAAGCAGAAGCTAGGATAGAAGAGTATTTGTTAAAGCAAGCAGTGTTTTCTGTATTCAAAGAAGTGAAAGCTCCTGGGGCTCTTGGGTAGACCGAGTGCCTTGGTCAACCTGGAAGGTTTGCAGTAAAGGCACCAGTCCACCCTTACGGGCTGTGGCAGACTTTGGAAAATGCGCAAATGAATGACTTCTTAGTTTTCTAGACACACAGTTTGTGTGTTTCTGAGCTGTCTCTGGGGCCAGATAAACGTTACACGGAAACTAGAACACAGGCCCTTCTCATTCTGTAGAGAGGCCGCTCAGTTGTCTGGGGAAAGCGGCGATCTTCTGAGGCAGTCATACAGACAGTTCCGAAGCTGTGGGTACAATAAATGTCTTTATGCCATGCTGACGTTCGTGAAAACTGATTAACTGGGATTTTCATGCACCAAAGCATACAGCTGTTTATTACGGAAACAGTCACCGAATGTACACACAGACCGAAGCCCTGTGCCAGAGCCTTAGCGAGCTTGCTGGAGGCTGCTCCATTTGCATTTTCTTGTACTGGGAGTTTTCAGTTACAAAATTTGCAAATAAACGTGTTTTAGGAAATCTGGAAGCTATCACAATGGCAACACTTCCTAACCACCTTGCCTGGCTTTCCTTTGGAAATACCTTTACCATCTTACACAGTTTATGTTTTACCTGTAGTCTCTCCCACAGGAGAATAAACCGCTAGTGACTTTTACGTTTCCTTCACCTTTGGGGTACGGAGGAGGGAAGTTCACCTTCATGATGAATCTACAGTGCTGGATCTTCCTTTAAAAAATGTTTTAAACTTCTACTGGCTGTAGAATAGCCCATCATGTGATCTGAAGCATCTTACACACTCCGTCCTAGCCCACTGCTGAGGGCAGACCAATCCCTCGCGCTGTAACTCCCAGTACCCTTCCCCCTGATTTGCATTCCTAGCCCTACGCCAGGCTGAAACGTCATCACGCTGGGACGTTAATGCCCAGGCCCGCGGCGCCTCGCGCAGTATCTGACGTCATGACGTAAGCCTAGCAACGGCGCAGGCTCCCGGACTAGTCCGTTATGGCCGCTACCGCCTGGGGAAGGATGAGAGACGCTGCGCAAGCGAAGCTGCTCCCCGGGTCGGCAATGCAGGCCCCTGGGGCGCTTGCGCGGCCGCTGGTCGTGGCACTCCTGCTGGCGCTGGTCTTGATCCCTGGTAAAGGGTCGGGGATCGGGTGAGGGCGGGCACGAGAAGGCTCCGAGGGCTGCGCGCGGGTCGGAACACGGGCCGGGCCAGGGGAAGGGCGCTGCCGAGGGTCTGGAGCTGACGGCCGCATCTGGTCGGGGCACAGTCTCTGCGGCCCGAGCGGGGAGCGTGTGGTGTTTGAAGGGGGTTCAGGACCGTGGGGTCTCCGAGGCCTTGAGAAGTGGCGCTGAGAAATTGAGGGAGCAGCGAACACAGTGTAGGTGGACGGCGAGGGGGTGTGGTGGTGCGGTCTGGGGAGCCTTGAAGAATGGCTGCCGCGAGGAATGGTGGACGTGGGGCCTGCAGAGTTCTTGGGAATAGGGAGCTAGGAAGGTCTCACAAAAAGGGCGGAGGAACGAGAGCTGAGGAGGTGGTCGGGGCCGGGCGGTGTGGTATCTGAGGAACCTCGAGTCGGGGATCCGCGGGGCCAAGGAAGGAAGGGGTTTTCCTATAAGGGGTGAGGTCAGTGGTAAAGATCGAGGTGGGCAGGGGCAGCGACCCGGCGGCTGGACTAAGCCTCTGCAACATTTCAGAGAGGGAAAGGGAGAAGGTGTGGGTTTTGGGTACTGGTGCATCTCTGAGGTCTGGAAGCTTCTGGTAAAGAGCCAGGGCCCTGGGGTGTTGGACTCCTGGGAGGTTTGGGAGGAGAGGGGGTTGAGAACAAAGGAGGTTCTTTTTGAGCGTGGTCGTTATAGGACGCAGATATATGTGGTGAGTTAACCAACCCAACCCTGACTTATTTTAATGGGTCCGTAGGACTTGACTGGGAAAGGATTTTTAGTGGGAAAAATCTGGTAAGAACTTACAAGTTCATAAGTAGGATCTTGTTTAGTAGACCTCCTCCCCACTCACTGTGAAAGTCTGAGACATAATCCTTCTCTCCCAAAATCTTTGAGTTTTCCGATTGTTACGGGGAAAATAACTCCAGCCTGTGAGATGTCAGATGAGCCGAGTTTGTGGTCTCACAACATCGGGCCATCAAGACTGCACCAAAGGAGGAAGTTAGAGTTTTGTTGGAAATAAGAATAGCTTCTGAATTTCCAGGCCATGTCCTGAGTGGGTGGACACTTAGGATCTTTGTCAAGAGTATTTACATAGTGAAATCACAAGATGGGTACGACGTGGGCTTATAGGATTACAAGTATAGTCACTTAGCTAATATCGGTCAAATAGGGAAATGAGCCACGTAGCAAGAGTACATAGAAAAGAACAAAGGAATTCTTGGAAAGGGTTGTGTCCAGATGTTCTGGTCGTCTACGTATGCATCTGATGCCTGTCTGGGCCCACTGGACCAGGCAGTGCTATTTACAGTATAACCTCAGTTTGCTGTTTATTTTTTATTTATTTAATTTAATTTTTTTTTTTTGTCTTTTTGAGACAAGGTCTTGCTATGCAGTTCAGGCTGGCCTTGAGCTCTCTTTGTAGCCCAGGCTGGCCTCGAACTTGCAATGATCTTCCTGCCTCAACCTGCCGAGTGCTGGAATTACAGGCATGTACCACCATATCCTGCAGGTTGCTGTTTATCTTGCAGGCCTGGGTACTGCATCTCCATCTCAAGGCCTTGCTTTCTTCAGATTGACTACCAGCCACAATCTTTGTCTCATCTTCTGTACTGACTTCCTGCAGGGCCCAGTCCCTCTCTAACTGCGTGTTAATTTCTCTCTAACTTCACTGTCTATAATAAGATAAAAAAACAGTGTGAACCAGGATCATTTTCTTAGCTCAACAGGGAATGTCAAACTATACATTTCTTTACTGCAGTGCTGTGGGTTCATACTCAGTGTTTCCTCAACAACACTAAAGGCCAGCGATGGACTGCCCTCCCAGAAGTATTTGCTAGTCTCTAGGGGAGGACTGTGGTCCATTTTCACAAGGCCCTTTCATTATGAGTAAAATGTACTCCAGTAATCCCAGCCCTGAAGGAGTCTGAGGCAGGAGGAGCTCACGTTTGATTTCTGCTTGGCAATTTAGCAAGATCCTGTCTCAAAAATTAAAAAGCTGGGCTATTGCTCTGTGGTAGAGTGTTCCTGGGTTTGACTTCCTAGTACAATACTGGAGGCAGGAAAAAAAAAGTAAGGAGCATTGCCCTGGTTGATGCAGATCCTGCTGCTCCTAAAGTTCTTGAATTGCATAAGTATGTGTGTATGTGTCTGTTTTCTGATACTGAGGATTGAACCCAGGCCTTACCACTGAGCTGCATTCCTAGCTCTTTTAGTTTTCATTTTGAGACAGGGTCTTACTAGGTTGCTAAATTGTCGAGGTGGCTCAGATTTACAATCCTCCTGCCTCAGTCTCCCAGAGTGCTGGGATTACAGGCTTGTACTGCCATGCCTGGCAGCATAATTGTTTTGATCATTTAATCATCTAAGAAAAAAATGGCATTGAAATATATTTCCTGCTGGAATTCTTAAGAAGCATAGTTTGGGGATATATATCTGGGAACTAGTTTCATAAGTGACTTTTCCCTATAGGATGATTGAAAATGTGTTGGGGTGAGGAGGTGAGGCAAGTGAGGAGGTACATGGAGTGTGAAGATATCCTTACATCTCTTTTTGTTAGAACCCTAACTATTGCTACAACTACTTGAACCTTTTAGGAACTTACCTTTTAAATTGAGTGTTTATATATATTGATGTTATACATTCAGATTTTCCCTACTGAAATAAATGAAAACTAACATGCTTTTCACAGAAGAGCAGCTTCATTGCAATAGAATAGTACTTGTAAAGCTTGGGTAAAACAGTATCAATATTTTTTTGTAAGCATACCTATGTTGGATTTCAAATTAATCACTCTAGGATGTGTTGAGTTCCAAATTCCTTTTTTTTTTTTTTTTTGTCTTTTTGAGACAGGGTCTCGCTTTGTAGCCCAGGCTGGCCTCGAACTCTCAGTGATCTTTTTGCCTCAGCCTCCTGAGTGCTGGGATTACAGGCGTGAGCCACCACGCCCAGCTCCAAATTTCAAATAAGTTTAGAAGTTGCAAAGTTACCACATTAGATTTATTTAAACTTGTTCTGTGTTAGGTTTCTTAAAATTTCAGTGCTTAGGTGTGTTCCTGGCAGTCTGTAAGAAGTTTTCGATTTTATGTTTTTGTTTTGATAAAGTCTAAAAAAAATTAACAGCATTTTAATCACAGGATGACCAGCTTATGTCTTCTTGCCGTACCATTTCAGAAATTCTTGCTTTTCTATAGTTTCCATTGTTATATATAGTATAAATGTGTGATGCATTTAATTTTTAAGCAGGTTTTCTCAAACCAGTGTATGAGTGAATTCTCAGGGTCATCTGCATTCTCAAAAATTTTTTTTCTTTTTTGCAGTGCAGGGAATTGAACCTCAGGTCTTGCACACACTAGGCAAGTTACATTCTCAGATTTGAGAATAGTTTTATTTCAAGACAGTTTTTAAAAGGGGTCCAGTGTTTTAAAAGCTTATTTATTTTTTGGGGGGGCACACTGGAACTTGAATTTAGGACGTCATGTTTGTCAGGCAGGCGCTGCACCACTGAGCTAAATCCCTGGTCCTAGTTTTTTTTTTTTTTTTTTTTTTTGGAGATAGGGTCTCAGTATGTAGTCTCAGTGTGTAGTTTAGGCTGGCCTTAAATTTACTGTGTTGCCTAGGCTGGCCTCTAACTTGTGGTGATCTTCCTGTCTCAACCTCTTGAGTGCTGGGATTACAGGTCTGTGCCACCATGTCTGGCTTAAAATGTTTTATTTTTAAAATGTTAAGTTTTAACTAGAGAGGTGGTATTGGTTAGGAAAGGGAAGAAGTAGAAGATTTAGGAGTCTAAAGTAACATGTTTGTAGAAGCTCAGCAGTTAAGTTGATAACATCAGAGTTGTCACTTTGATAATTCTGAATACTCTTCTCTTGTGACTGGATCAGCTGTTCTGATTTGAAGGAGAGAAGAGCAGACCATGAGGTTGATCTGCTTTGTATCAAATGTTTCAGATGAATTATCAATTTACTTTACTATGCTGTATTTGTATATTACTTACAAGTTATTTCTTAAACAACATACGTTCTTCTACTTGGTGCTAGGTATTGGAGTTAGCCAGTGAATACAGTGATGTTGGAGGTATTCTTAGAACAAGTGGGCTTTTGCTTGGCTGAGATCAGGGGAGGGGTTTTTCAGGAGATTGGTGGTACGGAGATGCTACTTGGCATGTGACTTGGGGTTTGTGATGCTTGGTTGGTTTGAAGCATGTTTGGTAAGTACTTGTTTGTTGAATGCCTGACGTTAAGCAGCAGTGGAGGTAGAGTAGAACAGCTAGGGAGATTAGTAAGTGTTAATGAGAGTGAGGATTGGGAGCCAGATCTGTTGGACCTTGTAGGTTATTAAGAAGACTTTGGCTTTTGAGGGAAAGTGAGAGTGAGAGTGGGAGCGCAGGTGAGCTCCCTGGAGGGTGTTAAGTAGACAAGTGACCTTACCTCACTAAGTTTGTTGAAGGTGACTCTGGCCCCTCTGTTGAGTGTGGACAGTAGGGGTTAGGGTGGCAGTGGGTAGATCAGTCAGAGGCTGTTAGAATAACCCAAGTGAGGTGAGCCAGATTAATGAGGAGGCTGTTGGGGTCAGATGAGGTGTCTGCTTGGACTAGGCAGAAGTGTTGGAGAAGTGAAAACAGTAACGGATTGGAAGTGAGGTGTTAAGAAAATGACAACTGCTCAGGTTTTTGGTTTGAGTAACCAGAAAGATGGAATTACTGTTACTTGAGAAAGAGACTGTAGGTAGACTAAGGGAGGTATAGAAATTCATTTCTTGAAATAAAATTTTTTTCATTTGTGTTCGTTATAAATTTACTTGCAGTTATACAAAACAATATAGAGACCTTCTAACACTTTACTCAATCTTCCCCAACAGCAACATCTTGTACAACTATAGTGCAATAGCGCAACTATAGTGCAATAGCGCAACTATTGACATCAGTAGAGTCAAGATATAGGGTATTTCGTGGTCCCATTTGTTGACTCTTTGAAGCTATCCTTCTCTCCTGAACTTCGGTGGCTACAAATGTGTTTCCCATTTCTGTAATTTTGTTATTTTGAGAGTCTGATGTGAGTGGAATCATGCAGCATGTAACCTTTGGGAATGGCCTTTTGTTATCAGCATTATTCTCTGGAGATTCAACCAGGTTGTTAAATGTGTCATCAGTTTTTTTTTTTTTTTTTTAATTGCTAAGTAGTATTCCATGGCACAGATATACCTTAATTACCTGTTGAAGCCTGTTTGGGTTGTTTACAGCTTTAGGCTATTAAGAATAAAGCTTCTATAAACATTTGTGTTCAGATTTCTGTATGAATGTAAGTTTTCATTTCTCTGGGATAAATGCCCAGGAGTGCAGTTTCTGGGGGATGCAGTAATTGTGTATTTAGTTTTAAAAGAAACTACCAAATTGTTTTCTGGAGTGGCTGTCTTGTTTTACATTCTCACTAGCAACATGAGTGATCCTTTTTCTGTGCATCCTTGTCAACGTTTGGTGTTGTCGTTCTGTTTTCTTTTAGCCATTCTGCTATGTGTGTAGTGCTACCGCTTTGTGGTTTTCATGTGCATTTGCCTAGTGGCTAATGATCTTTTCATGTACTTACTTGACATCTGTGTGTCCTCTTTGGTGAAATGTCTCTTTGTGTCTTTTGCCAGTGTTCTAACTGCATTGTTTGCTTATTTTTATTTTTAAGTTTTGAGAATTCTTTATGTTTTCTAGAAACAAGTCCTCTGTTGGACATAGTACTTAATTTTTTTTTTTTTTTTTTTTTGCCATTTTGTATCTTGTTTTATCCTCATTGGGGGAAGTTTTCACAGAACAAAATTTTTTAATTTTGAAGAAGGGCAGTTATTTTTTTCTTTTATGTGTTGTGCTTTTGGCATCAAGTCTAAGAAAGTCTTTTCCTAGTTCCTAAATTTCAAAGATTTTATCCTATTTTTTTAAGGGTTTTATGTTTACATTTAGATATGTGATTTTATTTTTATTTATTTTTTTGTAAGGTATGAGACTTAGGTTGAGGTTCATCTGGCCCTCTAATGTGGTGGATTACATGGATTGATTTAAAAATATTGAACCAGTTTTGTGTATATGTATATAATGTGTGTGTGGTGCTGGGGATCAAACCTAGGGCCTTCTGCTTGCTAAGTCTATACTCTACTACTTAGCTATTTCTCCTGCTCCTATAATTGTTGTATTAGTCAGTTTTCTGTTACTATAATGAAATAACTGAGGCAAGTATAAGGAGAAAGGGTTTACTCTGGTTCAAGAAGGTTCAAGTCTGAGATCTCTGACCCCATGACTTCAGGCTTTTGGTAAGGACAATGGGTCCTAGTGGGAATGTGTGGTGGAGGAAACCACTGGTATCAACCAGGAAGCAGAGAGAGAGAGAGAGAGAGAGAGAGAGAGAGACACCTGGGATTACAGGTGTGCACCAACACGCCCACTTAAAATATTTTATTTTCATAGCCTTTCAAATGTTATCTAATGTATTTAGATCCCACATGATAGTGTTTTGTGGTTAAACATCCTTGAAGTTCTTCAGCTGAGGCTGTATAGGGTTATAGATTAGGAACACGGCTCAGTTTCAGCAGGGTTTCTCTGTTGATTGCTTGCTCTGTAGAGTTTACTTACCTGATTTCCCCTTTACTCTAAGGAAACCATGCTGAGTGGCAGGAGCATAGGGAAATCAGAGGTTGTGTCGTTTGGTGTCTTTCCCTGAACCTAGACTGCCTTCCTGTCTTTGCTGTCACTTAGCTTTCAAGAGCCAGCCCTCATTTTGTCTGCTAGGCATTTTCCCTTTCTTCCTCCTGAGGATATTTGTTTTCTTTTCTAACTTGGAAGGAGTCGTCTTTCTGTTCAGGTACCCCTTAGAAATGCTGCCTACAGCTTGGCTATGCCGTCTCTTCGGTGTGTTGCATTGTGTTGAAAGGGGTTAGGTTCAGAGTATATCCTTTCCGTGACCTCCTGGGGCCCTCATCATTTGCCCTGTAAGGTTCTAGAAGGCAGGGTTGGAACCTGGGCGGGGATGGCTGGAACCGTCCTCTTTGTGAGAGGAGCACGCGCCACAGGGAGCGCACCCCCCACACACAGCGAGAAGCTCCCTCCGGCGGGGAGGGGGAGGGCCGCGTGGGTTTGGCCTCTGTTCCCAGCTCTTTGCAGCTCTTTGTTTCTGTGGCAGGCAGGCGAGGCAAGCGTTATTACTGGCGAAGCAGTTGTCCACTGCTGAGTATGTAGCTAAGAAGAGATGGGGAGCTTTGGCTGTGGAGGTGTCATAACTAGTTCCCTAGACAAAGTTACAGGAATTTAGCAGAGGAATGCTTACCTGGAATTTTAAGTAAGTATGCTTTGTAGCACGGTGGAGATAAAACTAGAGATTTCCGGGTAATGTTTATTCATTTCTTTCAGGTATGTCAGAGGCACAGCTTACAAATCAAACTGTATACACCCTAGATGTTTCTCATGCAAATGATTTAAAACATGAGAATCAAACCGCACCTTCTGTTTCCCACGTCACCACCACTCTCCCGCCCCCGACTGGCACTGAGAAGAGCAGAGGGGCCACGGCAGCCCCCCAGCCCTCGCCTGCCCACTCTGTGCTCCCAGAAGCAGCTGCTGACCAGGAGGACCCGAGCCTGGAGGAGGAGGAGGGGCTGCTCTCACCCAACAGCCCTCCGTCCCCTGGCAGAGACCCTCTGGACAACGGAGACTACGGAGAGGCGGACTACGACTGGACCACCAGCCCCAGGGACGAGGAGTCGGATGAGACTGTGGAGGAAAACAGGAGCTACATGGAGATCGAGCAGTCCGTGAAATCTTTTAAGTCTCCACCCTCAAATATCGAAGAGGAAGACAGCCATTTCTTTTTTCACCTTATTATTTTTGCTTTTTGTATTGCTGTTGTTTATGTTACGTATCACAATAAAAGGAAGGTACGTTTGGGCATTGTTCCTTTAGTTGCACTTTCTTATCTTAGTCATGTGTTTTATCAGCTCGTTTTGAGTCCCGGGGCTCAGGCATGAGTAGGAAAGTGCTCTACCACTGAACTGCCTCCCCAGGCCTTTTTATTTCATTTTTTAATTTTGAGACAGGATCTCTGTCAGTTGCCCCGGCTGACCCTGAAGTTCCCACCCTTTCGTCTCAGGCTTCAGAGTAACTGGGATCACAGGCATGTGCCACCATGTCCAGCCCTTACCAGTTCTTTTTTAGTCAAGTTTAAAGTGATAGTAAAATATTGACATGCTTAATCTTTTTCTCTTCTTTTTTTTTTTTTTTTTTTTTTTGGTGGCACTGAGCATTGAACCTAGGGTCTTCACACTGAACCCTCTTTTATTATTACTATTTTTTTTTTTTTTTTTACTTTGGACAGGGTTATGCGGAGTTGCTAAGTTGCCCAGCTGGGCTTGAATTGAACTATCCTGTATCAGCCTCCCAGAGTGCTGGGATTATAGGTGTTTGCCACCAGAAGTATTATATGTTTATTTCAGAAAATTGAGAAAACATAATAAGAGTTTAGAAAATTTAAGTTACTGCCAAGACAGCATTATTACTTTTCTAGCGTATTCCTGGTCTATAAATATGTGTAAAATCTCTACATATATGTGTATAATTTTTAAATGTATGTTATCTCATATAGATAACATTTTTTATATAACCAACCATGAGCATTTACCATAACATTAATATTCTTTAAAAACATGGCTTAATATCTGCATGATTTGTTTCCTATTGGATAATTAGATGCTTTCCAATTTTTGACTCAGAAAATGTTGTTATGAACATTTATTTCTGTGTTGGAATTAGCATGCTGGGCCACACGAGGCATAAATAGTATGGCTGGGTCATTTCATGTAGTTTGTTTCTGCACTGTCTAACACCACAGCCAGAGTTGTCTTTCAAAATACTTACGGGGAGATCATGTACCCTATTTCCTTTAAATTCTGAAGGAAATCTTGCTGGGTGTGGTGGTGCATGCCTATAATTGCAGCACGCTAATCCCAGCACTCGAGAGGCTGAGGCAGAATGATCACTGTGAGTTTGAGGTCAGCCTGAACTACATAGTGAGACTCAGTCTCAAAAAAACCCAAAAGAAAAGGAAATCATAGTTCTTGGCTTTATTGGAACTTGCCTTTTGATTCTATAAAATTATGTTCTTTTTAGAGATCTTGAATTTTTTTTTTACTCAAGAAATGGCAAAATGGAACAGTTATTTTCAAAATGCCTTCCAGCTTTGAGAATCAAGTGAACCTATTAATAGAAAATAGCAGACAAGCCCTTGGGATCATTTGTCTATCCCTAGCTCTGTAAATATCAGAGGTAGACAGAATTTTGAATGCTAATGGTACATGATCGCAGTGTTTGATGTTGGGCGGACAGTAGTAAGGAGTCCTAAGGGACTCATGAAACAAGTAGGCTTGTGTCACTCAGGCTCTGAAGAGAGCACCCGGAATCAGTCTTTAATAATAAGGACCCCTGTGTATGTTGACCTTTGAGGGGTGCTGTGTGGCTTGTTTACTTCTAGAAAACAAAGTAGCCTTTGTTGTTGGTGATATGTAATAGTTGTGTTTGGGAACCTAGGAGAAAGATGTTTCACTTGTTATAAAGCCTTTTGCCGTGTCTTGTTTCCTCTTTCGCATGTCTAATTCATTTTCTTTTATTTCAGATTTTCCTCCTAGTTCAAAGCAGAAAATGGCGTGATGGCCTTTGTTCTAAAACAGTGGAATATCATCGCCTCGACCAGAACGTTCATGAGGCGATGCCTTCTCTGAAGATTACCAATGATTATATTTTTTAAAGCACTGTGATTTGGGTTTGCTTATTATATGATTTTATTTGCTTGACTTTTTATATGCTGTTGTGCAGGTGTTTGCCATAGCAATTGGTACTTAAATGAGAGGTGGATCTCTCTTTTGCCTTGGTGCTTTGGGAATTAAATGTCACAAACAGGAGTATATAATTTTTTATCTACACTTTTAGAGCTGATTCACCCAGGGGTCCCAAATGTAAGTTAAGCATTACCTTATATTTATACTCTGCCTCTAGTTTCTATTATTTTTCATTTCTTGTACTATTTCTGGAAGTTACAGTATTTTTAAAAGACCCCAAACTTGTAACTAAATTCTAACATGTCTAGTACCACTTTCTTAGATTCACCTGCCATCCGAATACTAATTTTTATTACAAATTTCTTGGCGGTCACCAACGGTAAGGTACAAGGATGGATGTGGTAATGCTTCACGTTTAAGTAACATTTTGTTTTCTAAAGAAAACTCTTTAGAACTCAGGCAACAGAAACACGATTTAAGATAACGGTGTTGGTCAATTTGACCACAGTTTTAGGTAACACATTAAATGTGTCTGGAAATTATGGTGAAAAAAAGACTACAGTTTGCCGTGGATATAAATAAAATGTGATATAGACACTGTTGTTTGAATTGCTGAATTAAGAGATAGTAGGAACTATGGTGAGATATTAAACACATGACCAGTTACTTTTAGGTAGCAATTGAGTGTAGCACAGGTTCCTCCAAGTGTTCAAGCAGTGGGCAGAATTTAAAATTATATCAGATTTGTTCATGTTTTTTATTGTGAAATAAGTTTGAATAGGTCTTAGGGGACATTATCACTTGAATAATGTTGTATTTAGATCTTTGGAATTAAACTTATACCTGAATGAAGTTGTTTGTATACATAAAGGACATATGTGTACAATGACCTTTCCCTCCTGGACTTAGTATATTTTCTTTTCTGTTTTTTACAGCAACTGGAAATTACTGTATTTTATGTTAGCAGATCTTTCTGTCATAAAGAATTGATCATTGTGTAAATATGTGATTTGAACTGCGATTGACTTTCAGGTCAGGTGTTGCTGCAAGTTTTTAGGGAACACGACCTCTACCGTCCTGTGTTGAAGCCCAGGCGGCGGTGGCTTGCGCTTGCGCAGGGATGGGAGGAGCAGTGCCTGCCCCCCTCGTCTCCACCCGACAGCCGACTGTGCTGAGGAGGAAGGGAGCCCAACGGAAATACACCTGAGCTGTTTTACTGCAGTAATTTTTTCATATCTGAAATTGTATTATTTAATATTTTGATGAATAATATTTTAAAAAATAAATGGCATAGATGGAAGTCTGCTGTTTCAGGCATGATTCATTTCGGAGTAACATTTGGAGGTAACAGGAGAGTGCTGTGTCCGGGAGGAAATGAACCTGACTGCCCTGCCGCTGTCCCTCTCAGCTGTGACACTCTGCCTCCAGGGTGCCACTCAACCCGTAAGTCCCGCCGTGCGGCCGGTTTCCTGCTGCGTGCCCGTGCTCACAGAAACTGTAAGGGGGATGGCAAGGCGAAGCAGCAGAGCAGTGTGCTCCCTGTTGTCTGGATGGCGGCCTTTCCCAGCCCGGAGCGTTAGCCCTCTCAGCGGGCCTGGGGCTCTGCGGTCTGATCTGCAGTGAACTTGAGAATGGGAACACCGATTGGTCCCCTCCTGCCCCCTGACTTGCCCTGTGCCTGCCACCTACTAACCTGTTGTTGAATGGGGTAGCTGGGAAATTAGATGAGAAGGTCATCTCTAGCTCTGCACAGAATCACCGCGAGTGTCCTGGACATACATGCACGTAGGGCACAAGAGTCGGGATGGATGGGGTTACTATCTTCACATCCACCTGTCTTGGTGAAGCTAAAGCCCATTCTGTGGAGATGTCACCCTGTTACCCACGTGCCAGCTTCCGGTCGGAGCAGCTGCTGCCTGGGAGGTGCAAAAGGTGACCAGGGCACAGTTGGCAATGTTCCAGGTCTCCTGCCCGTGGTGTGAGGGCCAGAAAGAGCTGACTGCACTTCCGCCTTCTCAGCCTGCTTCAGTGCTGCAACCGTTTGCCCCTCTCCGGGTTTGCATGAAGCTATTCTGTTCTTACAATGGTCAGGTGTGTTGAAGCAGGCAGGAAAGGCTGTTCCGAGGTCTGAGGTCTGAGGTCGTTCTGGCCTAACCCGACACCGCCCAGCCAGAATATATGGGGATTGTCTTCAAGGGGTAATGGCGTTCTGTTCACTTGGGTTTTAACTTGGACAGTAAGGAAATCGCCAGAGAAGATGCTGGGAATTAAGTGGGGGCCGTGTCTGACTCGCACTTCAGTAACCTTCCGAGGTGGTGACCTGTTCTCTGGGCAGCTTACATTACTCAGTGGGTCTGATTTGGGGTGAGCAGTAGTTTCTACCCCGTCTGTCTTCCAGCTCCTTCCGAAATAGTTATCCGCTCCCTTCGATCATTAATGAATCTCCAACTTTAAAATCCCCTGCTCCTCCTTAGGAAACTTCGTCAGTTACTAAATATCTCTGCTCTGAAACGCTGTGCTTCGTTCCAAACCCCCAAAGGGCCCCTTTCCCGAATGTCCCTTCTGTGGGTCCTTTTGTGCCCTTCTGCCAGGTGCTTGCAGTGGGGTGGAGCTGGGAGGGCCTAGTTCCTGCCCAGGCTATTTTGCAACCTGTAGTGAGAACCCAAAAACATTTCCTGCCTGTTTCCTAAGAGTGAGAAGGGACTTGAGGTCTAACTTGAAGGTCCTGGGCCTCGCTGGGGCTAAGGTGGTCTCGGCTCATATTTCTCCTACCTTGTCTAGGAATGCAGACCTGGGGAGAAATGGGGGCTGGGACGCATGTGGGATGAGGCTAGGGCTGGAGGACCTCGATCTGATGGTTTTGTTGTCTTACTCTCCTGCCATGAAAGTGTTTGATTAGCTCACAGGACTTGTTTTATTTTTGAAGCAGGGTATTGTTACATAGTTCAGGCTGGCCTTGAACTCATGTAGCCCAGGCTGACCTTGAACTCATGGCAGTCCTCCTGCCTCAGCATCCCAAGTGCTGGGATTATAGGAGTATGCCACTATACTGGACTATCAATTTCTATGATTTTCTCACTTTAGGAATATTATATATATGGAGCTATATTATATATAACCTTTTTTTTGAGAGATACAGGTCTAGGTTTAATATTTAGCATGTGGAAAGCCAGTTTCCCCAGCACTGTTTGTTTAAGAAGATTTCTTCCAGTGAAGATGTTTGGCCCCTTTCTGAAAGATAAGGCAGCTGAGTGTGCTTGGGTTGTTTCTTCTTTTACACTGATTATTGT